GCAGCTCTCACATCCTTACCGTGCCCAGGCTTTAGGGAGCAGGGGCATGGCATCGTGGTCTTAATCTTTCATTCCCTCATGCTGTTGAAAACCTGTCCTGTGCTGATTGCCCTCCATATCTATTCTTTGGTAAAGAGTCTATAAGAACATTCACTATTTTGTTTGTTTTGTTATATTTCATTTTTAAATTGAGAGGTCCTTTTATATTCTGGATACCAGTCCCTTATCAAATCTCAGCTTTTCATCTTGTTAACTCTCTTAAATTTGATGAAGTCCAATTTACCATTTTTTTTCCTTTATGGATCACAAGACTTTCTCCTAGAAATTTTATAATTTTAGGTTTTACATTAAGGTTTATGATCCATTTAGAGTTATGTGTAGTGTAAGCTCTGAATTGATTTTTTTTTCACATGTGGAAATTCAGTTGGTCTATACCATTGAAAAGATGGTCCTTTTTCTACTGTGTTGCCCTTACACCTGAGTGAAAAATCAGCTGTCTACATTAGTGGGAGTCGCACTGGTACTTTATATTCTGGTCCCTTTATCTATTTAACTATCTTTATGCCCATGTGGCTTTAAAATTAGTCTTGAAATCAAATAATGTGAATTCTTCAACACTGTCCTTTTCAAAGTCATTTTAAATATCCTGGGTTCTTTCCATTTCTATGTCAATATTAGAATCAGTTGATCTACTTCTACTAAAAAGCCTATTCACATTGGCCGGATTATATTATTATATGGTGTGCGTATACAAACACGTAACAACAAATCCCATCATTTATGTACAACTATAATGCACTGATAAAAAACGTGGAAAAAATGTCTATTGAGATTAAGTTGAATCTATAGGTAATTCTGGAGAGAAATGAAATCTTATCATTGTCGAGTTTTCCAATCCACGGACAAAGTATCTCTCTCCATTTGAATTGGAACGTCTTTAATTTGTTTCACACTGTCATGCCATTTTTATGGTACAATCTTGCATACCTCTGTCAGGCTCATCGAAATATTTATTTTTTATATTATTGCAAGTGGCATTATTTTTATTTCAAACTATAATTCTTTGTTATTAGCATACAGAAGTACCAATGATTTTTATATAATAAGTGTGTGTCCTTCTCATACTTACTAACTTCTAGTGGCCTTTTGGTAGATTTCTTAAGATTTTCTCTATAGATAATTATGTCAACTGTAAGTAGTTTCATTTTTCCATTCCAGTATGGATGTCTTTTATTTCTTTTTCTTCCCTTATTGTTTTGGCTAGGTCCACCAATCCGTGTTGAACAGAATAGTAAGAATGCACATTTTTATCTTGTTCCTGATATTAGGACATCGAGTATTAGTCTTTTGCTTGTAGTAAGATGTTAGTTGTAGATTTGGGGGATGGTGAAGGAAGGTTGTTTTCTATTGCTATTTTGCTGTGAGTTTTTTTTTTTTAAGTTATGGATTGATGTTGCCAGTTGACAACTGTCTTTCCGGTATATTATATGTGTATATATATAATCTAGTAGATAATCATATGGCTTTTCTTTTTTAGCTTGTTAATATATTGAATTACATTGACTAACTTCTGAGCATTAAACTAACCTTGCACCTTTGAGATAATCCTAGTTGGTGATGAAATATTATCTTTTATATGCATTGCATTGTTGGATTAGTTTTAAAGTATTTTATTTAGGATTTTTGAATTTAAGTTCACAAGTTTATAATTATAAAATGAACTTCTTATTTCTGGTAATATTTTTTTTTCCTGAAATTTACTTTCCCTGGTATTACTATAGCCACTCCGGCTTTCTTTTAATTAGAGTTAGCACAGGGGAGGTTTCTATTCTTTTCCTTTTAACCTATCTCTGCTTTTATATTTAAAGTACTCTCCTTCTCCCCATCCCCTCCTTCCTTCTTTTATGTGGAACTGGGGACTGAACCCATAAAGTGTGATTCTTATACACACTCGCTCCTTACCTGCAGTCTCAGTTTCCACAGTTTCAGCTGCTCAAGGTCAACTGTGAGTCCGACAATATTAAATGGAAAATTCCAGAAATAAATAATTCATAATTCTTAAATAACATTTATTATAGTAGAGTTGTGGTTTTCCCACTTTGTTATTTATCTCTTACTATGCCTAATTTATAAATTAAACTCCGTCACAGCCGTGTGTATATGGAGGAAAGCAGAGTACATACAGCTGGCTGCTATCTGCAGTTCCAGGTGTCCACCGGCCGTCTGGGAGCATAGCCCTGTGGGTAAGGGTGGACTGCTGTTTATAGCTGAGCCTTGCTTATTTTATCCAATCTGACAATCTGCCACTTAATAAAAGTCATTAGACTATTTATATTTAATGTAACTATTGATACAGTCAGATTTAAGTCTCTCATTTGCTTTCTATTTGCTCCATCTGTGTCTTTTGACCCTTCTTCTTTGAGTGAACTGAGTATATTCTGATTCAAATATTTCCTTTGCATGTTTATTAACTCTGCTTGCTTTGCTATTTTAGGGTTTAACATGTACATCTTGAACTTATCAGCCTACCTTTAAGTGATATTATATCACTTTATGTATATAGTACATTTCCATTCTACGCCCCCCAGCCTGTTCACTCTGATTGATATATATTCTACATCTATATATGTTATAAACCCCATGGCATATTATAATTTTTGCTTAAATTGTCAATTATGTTTTTAAGGAAATTTAAATAAGAAAAAAATCTTACATGATACCATATGATAACCCATGTGTTGTGTCCTGCATTCCCTTTATAGGTCAATATTTCCATTTGGTATTATTTTCCTTCTTGCCTGAAGATTTTTTTTTCTTTTGTAGTGCAAGTTTTCTGGTGGTGAGTTCTTCCATCTTTTGTAAATGTAAAAATATCTTTTTCTGTTTTTGAAAGACATTTTTGCTGGATATAGAATGGATATAGAATTTTAGATGGTTAGTTTTTCTTTCAGTTCTGTAATGATGTAATTTCCCTAAATTCTTTTTTTGGTAAATTGAGTAGCAAGAAATCTGCTGTCATCCTTATGTTTGTCCTCTTGTGAATACTTTTAAGATTCTGTCCTATTCCTGGTTTTGAGAAATTTGATTATCACATGCTTTGCTAAAATTATCTTCTTTACATTTCCTGTCCTTGGGGTTTGATGAGCTACTTGGATCTGTGGGATGTTTTGTCAAATCTGGAAACATTTTCCATCATTATTTCTTCAAATATCTTTTCCCATTCTCTCTTTTTTCCTTTTGGGTTTCCAATGACAAATGTATAAAGCTGCTTGAAGTTACCTCATGTATCCGTGATATACTTTCTTTCTGTATTAAAATTCTTTTTCTCTCTGTATTCCCCTTTGGGTAGCTCCTTTTGTTATACTTTCAGGTTCACGTATCTGTTCTTCTACAGTGTCTAATCTGTCATTGCTCCTATCTAGTGTATTTTTCTTCTCACAAATTATATTCTTCACCTATAGAAGTTTGATTTGGGTCCTTTTTATGCAGTCCGTGTCTCAACTTAACTTGTGAACATATGGCACATAAGTGTTTTGATCTCTTTGCTGATTCTAACATCTGAGACCTCCCTTGTCAGTGCTGGTTTGGTTTCCATTGATTGATTTTTCTCCTCATTATGTGTGGATACAAATTTAAACTTTTTGTCACAGAATACCAAATTGTCCTTCAAAAATGTCTCCTTATTTATTCTATCACTAGCAGTGCCTGAGTGTGGCTGTTTTCCCCCAGTCCTGCTAGCACCAAATCCTGTCAGTCTTTGATATGATCCAGTCCCATAGGCTAAAACTATTGACAGACACAACCAATGTCCACAGGCACCAACTATCAGCCCAGTGACGGACAGTGGCAATTCTACGGTGGCCAGGCAGCCAGGGTAGCTGCCCTCATGGTGCCTTGAGGTATTGACCATAGTTTTATTTGCGTTTTCATTGATTACTAGTGACTTAGCGCATCTGTTCTCAAGCTTATTGGTATAAGCATTCTTCTTCGGGACACTGCCTACTAATGTCCACTGACCAGTTTCCACTGTATTGTTTGGATTTTTAAAAACTCCCTTCTTTGAGCTATTTATTTACTAAGAGTAGAGATCCACTTTCACTTTTTCAATAATAAAAAAATGTTTTTTGGTAAACAAAGCTATTTTCTTTACAATATATACTTGTACATGATTTCTTTCAAGAAATGATTTCATGTTACTCAAATACTCTTTCATATATTAAAGGTAAATAGGAATTGATTCTGGTATAAAAACAATGCCCTTAAAGGCAAAAGTTTTTGAACAAAGCAATCATACAAAACATTTATATACATAAACCTACATAAATCCATAATATGTAAATATTTTCATATCTATCTGATATCAATGTAAAAACGACATAATCTTTAGAAATAATCAAGCAGACTCTAAATGCCCTTTTAACTCCCTTAACAATGAAATGGAAAGTCAAGGAGAGGAAACGTTCCCAGATTATATATTTCCAGCTGATTAAATATTTCTTTCAATGTCATGCCATCTGTATTGAAAATACCCTACAGACAAGATTGTTAATTTGCAATAGTCTAAGATCTATTCTTCAAAAGGAGAAAATGTCACAGTCTTCATTAGGGAAGCTTCTGCCTTCCCACTGAAGAGTGGTAGGAGCTTTCAGAGGCGCACGCTGCCTATTCACCGGGCTGTGGAGGGGCGTGTTGGGAGTGCTGGGAAGAAGCCCCTGATAGAGGCACGGGTCCCATAAAGGGCCTGGTGTCTTTTTAGCATCAAGGACAATGTGAGGCGGGCGGGCAGGAGAGCGACCCCATCCAGGGACAAGACGTGCACACGTGTCACAGGCTAAGGGATGCCAGCCCTCTGTGTGTGACGGAGGGAATGCACGCCACAGTTATGTGATGAGTGAATCCGCTGAGCATTTCCACTGAGGGGGTGACGACAGCGATCCGCAAAGCCCCCCAAGGCTTCACCCACCCACCAGTTCTGTGGGACTCAGGGCCCCCTCACCAACCTGTTTGGTGCAGATGGTCTCTGGCCACCTCAAATAAACGCAGGTGCATGTAGGTGATGGGGTTGAAGGAGCCGCAGGCCAGGAGCACCACGGGGATTCGGCTCTTCATTTTTTCAGGCGTGTCTGCGCCCAATGCAGTGGCCACCCTGCTTTCCTGGAGACAAAAACTCACATCAGGAAGTTGGCACCAAGACAAAAGTCCAGGCCAGTGTTTCTAACCCGGCCTGCGCAGCCATCAGATCAGTAGCATTTAGGGACAGCTCACATGGGCCAGGAACCTAGGCCAAGTGTTATGTCAAGGTGCACATCTTCTGCCCAGTCCTTTCCAGAACTCCGAGTGGTGACTTACATGACCTTAGAAGCTGCTGGGCCAGAACTGGAACCCAGGCAGCCTGACTTGAGAGCCCACACTCTGCCCTTCACCCCATATGCCCTTCCTGGGTGCTGTGGGTCACCTTGAGGACAAGAGGAAGTCTACAAGGCTCCCAAATGTCAACTCTGATAGTCCAAAAGGAACTCAGCAGGCCCCGTAGTAGACAGACACTTTAGAGAAACTTTATTTTGAAATAATTTCAAACATAACGAAATTTGCCCCCAAGTTCCCCGGTGTTAACATTTTACCACACTTGCTTGATCATTCATTCTTACACACACACACACACACACTCACACTTACACACACACACTCACACACACACCCCTAATCTGTAAATATCTATAGTAACTTTTTCCTGAAATTTTTGAGGGTCATTTGTAAAAATAATACCCCTTTACCTTCAAGTTCTTCAGCATATGTTTTCTAAGGAGGAAGAAATTTTCTTACATAACTGCAGACCAATGACTGAAATCAGGAAATGCTCAAGGCAGCAGGACTACTGTCTAATCGACAGACCTTCTGATTTCACCTACTGTCTTTCATCTGGACGTGAGCACTACAGAGCCAGCTCTCACTCTGTTCTCCTACTCTTAGCACCAGGGTGAGGTTAGAGGAAGGAAGGAAGCCGCCTGGCCCAGGGCCCTGCCTCTCGGGCACCCTGTGAGCTGCAGGGGGAGTGAAGAGCTCCCTGGGAAGTAGGCCTTGGCCTGACTCCTGCTCCGCTACTCAGTGCCTGGGAGACCTGGGCAGAGCACAGCCCTCTCTGAAACTCAGTTTCTTCATCTGTAATATGGAGTCAGGGTTTGGATGTGAGGTGTCGCCCAAAAACTCACGTGTGAGGTAATGCCAGAAGGTTAGGGGAGGAAATGATTGGGTTGTAAGAGTCTTAACCTGTCAGTGAATTAATCCCCTGATACAGATTAACTGGATGGTAACTGAAGTGGTGGGGTGTGGCTGAGGGAGGTGGAATTGGGACGTGGCTTTGGGTCTATATTTGTATCTGGGAGGTGGAGTCTCTCTCTGCTTCCTGATCACTGTGATGTGAGCCGCTTCCCTCTGCCACCTCTCTTACCACGGCGTTCAGCTTCATCTGAAGCCCTGAGGAATGGAGCCGGCCGTCTATGGACTGAGACCACTGAAACCGTGAGCCCTCAAATAAACTCTTCCTCCTCTACAGTGGTGCTGGTCGGGTCCGTTAGTCACAGCTGTGAGAAAGCTGGCACAGCTGGGGATAGTATCACTCTGCCCCTGACAAGGGACAGGGAAGGCAAGGGAGAAGCCAGTGCACCTGTGGTGGGCAGCTCAGGGTGGTTCCTGATGTTCCCCACCTCCTGGTGTTCACTCGTAGCCCCTTCCCCTCCATCCTGGGTGGGTCTGGTGACTTCCTTCTAATGAACAGAGAGTGGCAAATGCATAGGGACGTCCTGCCTGAGGGAGGGTCACAAAGTCCTGGCTTCCCTCGGGCTCACCTCTCTAGCTCACTCTGAAGGACCCGGCTGCCAGGTGCCAGATGCCCCATGAAGGGGTCCACGGGGCTAGAAACCCAGGGAGATCTCTGGTGGCCAAAGCCAGGAGGAATCAGAATGACCAGCGGCTCTGTGTGGAGGTGGATCTTTGATGGTCAAGTTTTCAGGTGAGACTGCTGCCCTGTGGACACCTGATTCCAGGTCGGTAAGACCCTGAGCCAGAAGACTGGAGACCCACAGGGACTTGAGCGAAGCAGCAGCCAAAAATAAATAAATAAGCGAGTGGCAGGAAGACCAGCAGAGTAGCCGGGGAGCGGGGAGAACCGGGGAGGGAGGCGGTGAGGGGGAGGGGGGGGACGCCGTGGACTGAAATGGAGTAAATCAAATTCTATGCATGCATGAATATGTCAAAATGAACCCAGCGATTATGTATAATTATACTAGTCCAATAAAAAAGCTGAGATAATAAATCAAAATAAACAAATAAGCGTGCTGTTCCAAGCTGCCTATTTTGGGGTGATCTGTCATGCAGCCACAGAGGACGTGGCGGCCAGCAGATGGGAAGCATCCGCGCCTCTCTTATCCCTCCAGTCACAGGGACTTCGGCTATAAGCGTGCAGTTCTGGGGGAACCTGGAGAATTCTCGGTTGCTGGGAACTGGGATCCTCTTGACCTAAGGAATTGTTTTTTATTTTGAATTTACTAGTGAATTATGGTCAACGGTGGGGCTCATTTTGACATATTCATAAGTGACCCAAACATAATTGATTCCATTTTAATCTCTAGCACTTTCTCTCTCCATGCCCTGGTCCCCTTCCTCTACTCCACTGGTCATCCTTCTATTTATTTATTATTTTTCGGTGCAATTATGATTAATATAAAATTGGAATGCACTGTGATACATTCACACATGCACCCAGCAGAACTTGGTCAGCTTCACTCCCTGTTCTTTCCTTGCCCGTGCCCCTGGGTCCCCTGCTTCTACTCTCCTCATCTCTCTTCTGTTTTTGCAAGATCCTCTTTTATAATTAAAGGGAGAGGTTTTAATCTGGGTGCGTGGTGGACTTTCCCAGGCTCGTATCCACTGCTGCTTGCTTGCTGTTAACAGACCAGCAACAAAGGACTACCTGTCGTGGTTTCTTTGTGAGCCACCTGCTTTAAGCTGCCTTGAATGCTCTTTTATTTTTCTTCCAACCAGAACACCCCAGCACACCCCCATCTCTTGACTCAACGCAGAAGATCACATTATTTACAACTTCAATCACTAGTACTGACTGCCTGCTAGGTGCTAGTATCAGAGATGCATTTGGCTTGAAGAACCCAAAGCCTAACCTCAGTGGCTTGAGCAAAGAGAGGTCCATTTGTTTCTCATGTGATAATAAGTCTAGAAGTAGACAGCTGATGGTATTGGATCATGGGCTCAATAATGACCTGCAGTTAGTTCTCTTGCTTCTTCCTCCTGGTCACAAGATCACTCCTTTAGCTACAGCCACCGTGAGTTCAATCAAGGCAAGCCACAGATCAAGGTGTTTCAGCCAGCTTTTCTGCTGATGTGACCAAAATACTTGACAAGAACAACTTTAGAGGAGCAAAAGTTTATTTGGGGGCTCACAGTTTCAGAGGTCTCAGTCCATAGATGTCTGACTCCATAGCTTGGGGCCTAAGGTGAGGCAGAACATCATGGCGGAAAAGCAGCTCAGGACATGGCACCAGGAACCAGAGAGAGTGTTCCTCTCACCATGGACAAAACAGAAACCCAAAGGGCATGTCCGCAATGACCCAACTCCTCTAGCCACACCCTCCCTGCTTACAGCTACCACCTAGTTCATCTCTATCAGGGGATTAATACACTGATTAAGACTCTTGTGACCTAATCATTTTACCTCTGAACTTTCTTGCATTGGCTCACACATGAGCTTTTGGGGGGACACCTGATATCAAGACCATAACAAGGGAGTTGTACTAGACCACTGTCCCTCTTAATCTGAACATAAGTGTTTTGGAGAACCACCTGTAGATTCTTCTTATTGGCTAGAACTAGGTCACATGGCCTCTCTAGCCACAAGCGGGGGCTGGAAAGGCCTGGAAAGGCCTCACAGCCTCTCCAGCAGGAAGCAGCAAGAAAGGGAATCTGGGAATTGGGCTAGCTGGTCTACAGTGGCCACCACAGAGCTCAGGATGTGACTGTGCTCAGAGCACAGAGGCTGCTGAGACAGCTTGGGTCGGCTCGTCTCTGACTTCCCTTTAGTGAATCACATGCCACAATCTAGAAGGCACCTGCCCACATGCTTCCTATCCACCCGAGAGCAAGCCCCGTGGGGGCAGGAGACTCTTTCCTTTGTCTCTGGATCTCAGCTCTGAGCACAGAGCATGGCCAGAGTAGGGCTCAGTGGAGTCAGAAACAGCACTAGCTGGCTGCACAGGGGACCCAGGTCCTGGAACCTTCAATCACTAGGTATTGACCCTGAGTACTTACTCGTGTACAGAAAGGTTGTCGTGGATGTATCTGGAGCTACAGTGTGAAGCTGAACAGCTCTGAGCCAGGAGTAGTGCTGCCTCCCTACGCTCCCTCTGAGGTTGAGGAACACCCGCTCCTGCGTGCAAAGACAGGGGTCTACAAGCTGCCACTGGCTTCTTCCTGCGAGGTGGAGTGGTTTAATGCTATATTATTTGCAAGGTACGCTGAGTTATTCAAAAGGACAGCCTCGTGGAGACAGGTACTTAAGGAGATGGCTGTTTCTCCCAACTACTTTGAAGCCCCTCAAAATTCTATTTCATTTTGACAAAATATAAAATTTGGAGCCATTAAAACATGGAACTGCAGCATCTCAGGTAGCCTGGGGTTTTCATTCATTTTCCAAAGTTTCCAGAAATTGCAACTTAGAACATTTATTTAAATGGCAGCATCAATGGCAACGGGTGTGTTATTGAGAAGATTGGATGAGCCTCTCTCTTTGCTTGTTTTCCCTGCCGGGCCACACTGGACCACACTGCTTTTAACAGTGACTGTGCCCTGTCCAAGCCACGTCTTGGGCTGGAGGACGAGGCTCAGGGACAAGGCCAGGGCACCTGAAGCATGTGCATCCTCCAACTTAGCACCCTTCCCTCGAGCCCCAGAGAAAGGCCCTGATGGGTTGGGATGGACTCCCTCGGGGTCCAGCAGGGACAAACGAGGCTCTGATGTGAGAGCAGATCGCCAGGCACAGGTGGCAAAAGAGCCTCACCTGCCTTGCCGTCTCCTACTGTCTCGGGAGAAGAATAAGTGGGGCAGACGTTTTGCTCTTGGGAAAAGGCTGCTCGTCAATAGTATTT